GCCTGGTGGTTAAGGCGCTCGACTCGCAATCTGAGGGTCGCGGGTTCGAATCCACATCGCAACAAACATGGCCGCCCTTTAGCCGTGGGGGCGTTATAATGTGACGGTCAATCCCACTATTCGTTGGTAAAAGAGTAGCCCAAGAGTTGGCAGTGGGTGGTGATGACTAGCTGCCTTCCCTCTAGTCTTCCACTGCTAAATTAGAGACGGCTAGCGCAGATAGTCCTCGTGTAGCATTGTGTGAAATTTAAAACAAACTAAATTAGATGCTAACACAACAGTTTCACTTACATGCCAATTTTATTTCGTGTTTTTGGTATGTCCTTAAAGTAGAAGCTCAGTTTTCATAAAACTGGGGCAACAGACAACCGACTAAACACTCAATAACTCAACAGTCAATCCACCCCTTCTCTTAGCTGGGGTTCTTATATCTCTCACAATGTTTCTTAAACTTTCGAGACGTTGAGCCACTTCACATAGCATCAAACTCCCTCTGACTAACAATAGAAACATTCAACTCAAAATCAAAACCGCCTGACAACAATATATAAAACTTTATATGTTTTCATATATTATATATGGGTATACGTGAAAGCACTAGAGTAGCTGGTACTCTACACGTTTGGACAATTAGTGGAAAAAAAGAAGACCGCCAGTCTGCCCCCTAGTGGCTCATAAGTAAGTTTATACCGCTAAAAATCCAGTTTCGATAACCACAATTGGCTGAGAACAGATAACCGATTTTGTAGCCTTGCACTTACTTACAACAATCAAACTCAAACAATACAAATATTTATATTGTCAGTGTACTGTAATGTAAGATTTTGTTTGTTTTCAATTTCGCATGAAGCCACTCGAGGGCTATCTGCGCTAGCCGTCCCTAAATTAGAAGTGATAGACAAGATGGAAGACAATAGTTAACACCACCCACCGCCAACTCTTGGGCTACTCTTTACTAACGAATAGTGGGATTGACCGCCACATAATATCGTCCTCACGGCAGAAAGGGCTAGCAGATTGCGAGTTTAGTGCCCTGACCACCAGGCCATGCTAGGCCCCATAACATAAGAAAGTGTGATACGATTAAAGTTCTAAGTTCTGTTTGGTTTGATTTTAGTTTTTTTTTTACATTATTATGTATCTCTTCACCCAATGAATAAAAATGTGATATTTTCATTCTGTTTTAACAAACTGTCGTAATGAAGAACAAAAACGTTCAATAATTAATATAGGGCTAACTATACAATATATTTAATTACGTCCAAGAAGTCACTAGATGTTCAATAATTAATATAGGGCTAACTATACAATACATTTCATTACGTCCAATAAGTCACTAGATGTTCAATAATTAATATAGGGCTAACTATACAATATATTTCATTACGTCCAAGAAGCCACTAAATGTTCAATAATTAATATAGGGCTAATTATACAATACATTTCATTACGTCCAAGAAGTCACTAAATGTTCAATAATTAATATAAGGGCTAACTATACAATACATTTCATTACGTCCAAGAAGTCACTAAATGTCAATAATTAATATAGGGCTAACTATACAATATATTTCATTACGTCCAAGAAGTCACTAAATGTTCAATAATTAATATAGGGCTAACTATACAATACATTTCATTACGTCCAAGAAGTCACTAAATGTCCAATAATTAATATAGGGCTAACTATACAATACATTTAATTACGTCCAAGAAGTCACTAAAATGTTCAATAATTAATATAGGGCTAATTATACAATACATTTCATTACGTCCAAGAAGTCACTAGATGTTCAATAATTAATATAGGGCTAATTATACAATATATTTCATTACGTCCAAGAAGTCACTAAATGTTCAATAATTAATATAGGGCTAATTATACAATATATTTCATTACGTCCAAGAAGTCACTAAATGTTCAATAATTAATATAGGGCTAATTATACAATACATTTCATTACGTCCAAGAAGTCACTAAATGTTCAATAATCAATATAGGGCTAACTATACAATACATTTAATTACGTCCAAGAAGTCACTAAATGTTCAATAATCAATATAGGGCTAACTATACAATACATTTAATTACGTCCAAGAAGTCACTAAATGTTCAATAATTAATATAAGGGCTAACTATACAATACATTTATTACGTCCAAGAAGTCACTAAATGTCCAATAATTAATATAGGGCTAACTATACAATACATTTCATTACGTCCAAAAAGTCACTAAATTATTAGAACTACTAGCATTTAATAGACTATATTTCATTTTACAGATTTCCACGACAGTCACCTGGCGCCTGAAAGGAGATCAGGGAGACGTGTTTTGTTTCAAGACTGATGTTGATGTTGCATAAAACAGACGGGAGTTTTATGTTTAGACAATAAAACCTTCTTTATCTCTTTCTGTGTTACATTATTTACTATTAGAGCTCAGCTTTGATATTCAGAATATTATTTAACACAGTGTAGATAATAAAGAACCAAATTATGACGTCACATAAATAAATCAAGGTTTTCGTAAGTTCTGCGCCAAGAGAAGTATAAAAACGGCTTGGGTTTACTAACAATACCCTGAATTTACAAACAATAGCCAGCATTCAGTAACAATGACCTGAATTTACAAACAATAGCCAGCATTCAGTAACAATGACCTGAATTTACAAACAATAGCCAGCATTCAGTAACAATGACCTGAATTTACAAACAATAGCCAGCATTCAATAACAATGGCCTAATTTACAAACAATAGCCAGCATTCAGTAACAATGACCTGAATTTACAAACAATAGCCAGCATTCAGTAACAATGACCTGAATTTACAAACAATAGCCAGCATTCAGTAACAATGGCCTAATTTACGAACAATAATATGAATCTACTAACCATACCTTGACTTTATTAACAACACGAATTCACGAACAATGACCACCTAGTGAATGAACTTATCACCATTGTTCTTTAACTTGGATTCTAATTTGTAGCTATAGTGATTTGTATCTAGTTTAAAACGTGATTTCATTCAAATTTGAAATATTTTATAAATTATATCCGTAAAGTTATGCATGTATAGACTCGAACATTGTTTCTCAATTACGCCTGATTACTAAACAGTATTGTTGGAATTTTGGTTTATTATTGAAATGATGTGATTTATTCAGTGCCCACGAGACCTTTCACTCAACACCAAGAGTCATTGGGTCAGCTGGGATACGACGGTTGTAGTAAGGGTCGAGACGCTATTTATATCAATTGGTCATCGATACAGACTGTGTACAGAGGAGGCCTTGCATGACCAGGTGGCTAGGGCGCTCGACAGAAGACAATGCATCTTAACAAATGAAGTAATGCTTTCATGGTGTCCGTACAGAAATAATGTCGCTATGTGTTGTATGGTAGTTTCCAAGGAAAGTGTTGTGTTCTAGGTTTCAAGTAATGTGTTGTAATCTAGTTTCCAAGCAAAGTGTTGTGTTCTAGGTTCCAAGTAATGTGTTATTATCTAGGTTTCAATCAATGTGTTGTAATTTGGTTTCCAAGCAAAGTGTTGTGATCTAGTTTCCAATCAGTGTGTTGTAATCTAGTTTCCAAGCAATGTGTAGTAATCTAGTTTCCAATCAATGTGTTGTGATCTAGTTTCCAAGAAAAGTGGTGTGTTCTAGGTTCCAATCAATGTGTTGTAATCTAGTTTCCAAGAAAAGTGTTGTGTTCTAGTTTCCAATCAATGTGTTGTAATCTAGTTTCCAAGAAAAGTGTTGTGTTCTAGGTTCCAATCAGTGTGTTGTGATCTAGTTTCCAAGAAAAGTGGTGTGTTCTAGTTTCCAATAAATGTGTCGTAATCTAGTTTCCAAGCAAAGTGTTGTGTTCTAGGTTCCAATCAAAGTGTTGTGTTCTAGGTTCCAAGTAATGTGTCATTATCTAGGTTCCAATGTGTTGTGATCTAGTTTCCAAGTAATGTGTCATTATCTAGGTTCCAATGTGTTGTGATCTAGTTTCCAATCAATGTGTTGTGTTCTAGGTTCCAAGTAATGTGTTATTATGTAGGTTGCAATGTGTTGTGATCTAGTTTCTAAGTACAAACATCCAGTAAAGACTATTTTACTTTATAACTACAAT